GAAAACATTACCATAAGTGAGAGAAACCAGATGTAAGGGACCACATATTGCATAATTTCACATATATAAACAGCATAGTGTGCAAGTACGCAGACAGTAAAGTAGATTAGTGATTGCTAGGAGCCAGGGAGGGAGAGATGTAAAGTGACTAATGGGTACACAGTTTTATTGGGGGGGTGATAAAAATATTAAATTTTTATAAATATCAATTTTTATGAATATCAATTAAATATTATTTAAAGTAAAAGAACAAAAACATATTAACAGACAACCACTTACAAAGTAGCACAAGAATAGTACAAGCAATATTTAATTACAGACAAGGTGACAGGGAATTAACAATGGTTGTTGTAAAGTTTCTGCACATCTAAAGAAATCATCAGCAGAGTAAAAAGAAAACCCACCAATTGGGAAAAAAATTTAGCTGGCTGTCCCTCAGACAAAGGTCTCCTATCAAGAACATATAAAGAATTAAAAAACACCAACCTCCCCAAATTCAAAGACTGAGTCCTAAAATGGGCATCTGAGATGAAAACACACTTCTCAGATAAGGAAATATACATGGCAAATAAATACATGAGAAAATGTTCAACATCATTAGTCATTCAATTAAATATTTAAAGCATTCCCTTTATGTATTTAGTAAACTGATTCTGTGTGCATGTGCTTATTCATTTAACAAGTGTTTATCAAGTGTAATTTATGTGTCCAACATGAATGTCTGTCAGTGAAGGATGCCAAACCATTGGTCCTCACCCCCAGGATCTGTTTAAAGAAGGGTATGCCCTCTGCCACTGTGAAAGTGGAAATGAGTAGGAGGGATACAATGATCAGAGGTGGCATTTAAAAGGAAAAGCCTGTTTTGGTGGTGAAAAGCTCCAACCTTTGAGTTGAAGTCCTGTAATATCTCCAGGTATTTCTTACTCCACTTTTTTGTTTTCCATTTTTGTCACTAACGGGAATATGCATTTCTACCTTGCCAAAGATTTATTATGAGAAGAGTGGTGGGACTGTTTAGTATGGCGCCCACTGCATGTTGTTACACCTGGTCCATGTTCATAGACTCTGATTTAGGATCAGAAAGCTCATGGGGAAATCTGGGTCTTTCAGAGCCAAAGTCAAGGATTTTAAGAAATGGTTCCTTACATCTGTGCTTTGGATCAAAATTTAAATTCCAGGGAGGGTGAGCACTTGCTTGGCCTTTCATAGGTTAGGAACCATTTCTGTCCAACATGGATACAAATCTTGGTTAACAGTTCCACTAAAAACCCAGAGTATATGTAGTACAAGATGCTGGATACCTCAAAAGAGACACAGACCCAGTTAGCAAAAGGAGACAAGGCTGCTGTGTAGACAGAAACTATAAAGTCCCTTATAACTATCCATCTATACACTCTCTAAGTGCATTAAGAGATGCTTGTCAGAATCCTTTCTTTCCATGCCTATTAGACATGGTTCTGAAATTCATACACCAGCATCCAAGCCAGCATCCTTCCTCAGGACCCCTCACTGATGAAATGGATAGCAGAGGTGAACTCCCTTTTCCAGTTGCAAATGATAAATGTGAGCTATTTTTATTACTGAGTGGGATTTTAATGCCTTCCAAGAGCAAGGCTGAGCCCAAGAGGAAGGCCTGGGGACCTAGAGATCTTTCTTGGCAGGCTTATTGGATCTGGGTAGGGAAGACACAGTTTCTTTTAGTTGTTAGCTTGCACATAGCAAGCCTCCCTGCTGATTAGCAACTTTCTAAACAGCCTTTCAGCTAGAATTACACTGTGATCCAAGGCTCAAGTTGAGTGAAAATGAAATAAGGGGCCCAGGGCACCTCACTGACAAGAGAAAAATGTGACAAAAACATTTACTTGTCGCCCCTGTCTCACCTTTTCTGCAGGGGTGGACTCCTGATGGACCCTGGCAATCTTCCTCATCATCAGAATGATTAACTCAGAGATGCCAGGAGCTCAGCCCAAGCCAATTAGGGCAAAATTCTTCTCCAGCAACAGTGGTTGTTTCAGATGTGGGCAGGTGACCCAAACCATGAAGCCCTGGGATAGTACTTGATGTGCATCTATAGTCTCAAACTCTGGTGATTTTGTACTGTCCGCTCTTTATAAAGGAGTGTCAGTTGAGGCAGGAAGACAAAACTACTCTACGTCTCAAATATCCCCTATCTAGTTCTCCTTCTGCCAGGCAGTTGATCCTTTCAACAGATCATATAATTTATGCTCTGGAGTAATTAAAACAGTTTGTCCATTTAAAAAATCTAGTGTCTCTTATCTGACTCAAAGTGATCTCTCCTCTGAATCTCACACTAGATCTGTGACTTAATGACCTAAGATGAGAGTGAGTAGGGTCAATTTTTTTCTTATCCCCTTTTGCTATATGTGGCCGGGAGACAGACATATAATTTGCCTCTGGGATATGTCATCCTTTTTCTTCTCTGGGTCTAACCATTTTGGGATTGGGCTAAAGAGCAGTGATGACAGAAGAAGGAAGGCAGAGTTCTCATTCCACAACTATATGCATAGCTATTACTAGGGAGGCCAACCTGGTCATATTTGTTGGTCTGTTTTTTTTTATATGCCGCTGAGAAATGCTGTAGACATATTGGGGTCTAAGTATGTGTTATGATATTTAAGTAGGGTAAGCTGCTTAAGGAAAACCATGGAATATTTGAGTTTGTAGTCTGACTATTTCACTTAGCATATTTCTCAAGCTGCATCTGTTTACTGCGTGGTGTGTTTTATCTTTGTAAAACTACTAATTTGCCCTTTTTTATGGTCATGTTAAGATGTACAAGGTCCTCATGAGAGGCCAGGCAGATCCTGGGGCCACTTTTTGAACTTCTCAGCCTCCAGAACTGTGAGCCAAAATAAATCTCAGTTCTTTCTAAACTACCCACTCTGTAGCATTTTGTTCTAACAATAGAAACAGACTAAGACATCAAGTAAGTCAAATACAAGGTATTTAGACAAACATTTAGAGAAATATTTGTTTATGATCTGAATAAATACTTGCTAAATTATATCAAAATCAGAAGCCCTGAGGAAAATTGTTAATAAATCTAGTTATATAAAAATTGAGAATTATACTTTATTAAACAATGTCATGAGTCAAATTAAAATGTGGGCACATAAATCAAATGCATTTGATCTTAAATTTAAGTGCAGAAGTTACCTTATATGTGATGACAAATAATGTCTTTAATATAATAAGCCTCTTTCTAACCAACAAGTCTATAGTCAGGGTGTGCAAGGGAAACAATACAGGACTTATAATTTATCGGATTATTTTATAATACTCACCAAAGAGTCAAATACAAAGAGCACAGTAAATCTGTCCACAAACTAAAGACCCAAAGAATCCAGCTGAGGGCTGGAATCCCAGAGCAGTTCCCTGAATGAGTCCAGCTGAAGACCTAGAGCCTATCATAATGACCCCCACAAGTCCAACTGGAGGCCTATAGCCCATGACATGTCTCATGCAGGCCTGTTTCAAGGATCGGCACTGAGAAGGCCCCTAGGTCGGTGGTGGAAGCTAGAAAGTCTGTGCCAGTGGGATGAAAGATCTGTGCCCGAAGGCTGAGGGATCTGCACTGGAGGCAGGAAATGATGCTCAAAGTAAGAACCAGAGCTCCCCTGAAAACTACCACAGCCATCCTCAGCAACAGTAAGGTCCCCAGCTCCTCTGACAAGAGTAGCCGAGTTTATATTAGAAAAGCCAGCACAATAAGCTTCTCAGGATAACTAACACAACACCCCAAGAACCAAGAGCACCCTAACGGGACCTGTTCTTTTTCTTCAGTTCTCCTTTTTATTTTATTGGCAAATATCCTTAGGTGGGCCTCCTGCATCCAGCACCACACTGATTCAGTTCAGCTGGGTGTTGAGCACCAGTTGTCAATCCACTACAAAGTCAAACAGCAAACTAATCAAGAAAATTAACCACATCAGAAAAATGAAAAACATGAAGTAAAAAGTATATTCTGCTTCATTAACAATCAAAGAAATACAAAATGCTTCACAGTTAAGTACTGTTCATGCCCACCCAGGGGTGATGTAGAAATTTGCCATAAGCCCCTTCCCAAATAGCTGCCTCTGAATCATGTATGGAGTGATTTATTTATTGCCTCATCTGAGTGAATGACCACTTGGTCACACAATATTTTAGCTTGCCTCTTCTCAGAGATGGGCTGCCCTTTGCTATATGTAAGAGTGGGGGAGCTGAGTTTTAAACACCAGTGTCTGCACTTGTCAGTGTGACCATGGAGTGCAGAAAAAGAACATGCTCTGTCCTGAAAAGCAATTGAATTTCCATGAATTTGTGTGTTAGTGAGCTTTCTCTCACTGTGACAAAATAGAAATAACCTACAGGGAGGAAAAATCTATTTTGGCTGAAGTTTTAGAGGTTTCTCTCTATGTTTGCTCGGCCCCATTGTTTTGGGCCTGTGGCGGCAGTGTATCTTGACAAGAGCACATGGGGAGACTGTTCACCTTGTGGTGATGGAAGTGAAGAGAGAGTCAAGAAGACACTGGGGCCTCAATATCCCTTCAAGGGCATTCCCCAATGACCTAACTTCTTCCAGTGAGACCCTACCTCTTAAAGGTTCTACTGCCTCCCAAAGCACCACTCTGCCTTGGAGCCAGCCAAGTATGGACTGAAACCTCCACAGACTGTGAGCTAAATAAACCTTTCCTTCCTTAATTCTGGGTGTCAGGTATTTTGTCTCAGCAACGAGAGAAATGTAATTAAGACAAGGGGTTAAATCTTGGTATGTGGCCTGAGACCACATATTATATACTGTAGTTCTTGCTTTACCCTATAGGAAAGGGACGGTTAAGAAGCATCTTTGAGTACCAAGGAAAGAGGTATCCATAGCAGGAGGGATGGGAGGGCTTTAAAGTATTGCTGCATGAAAGAATCAGTTTGTAGCACAAGCCAACTCATAGCTTTGCTACTCAGGTGACACTTTATTCATTCCTTTCATTTTTCTTTTGTAGCTCCAACCTTAGTGGAGCAGAATCTTATAATAGTGAGACTGAGAAGAGAGAAGAGAAGCATATGGTTGGCAAAGGAAAAGGAACCCCTAATTTCCACTGCAGGTGGTTACCCTGCCAAGACAGGAGGATAAATGATGATTGTGTCAGACTAAGCAGTTTAAATACTGCAAAAAGATGGTTTTTGCGACCAAGAATGAAGGAATGCTATCCTCTAAGAATGACTACAAAAAAAATTTGGAGTCTGTCCTACATTTTCTCCAGGAGCCAGAAATGAACTTGCCTCAAAGGCTAAAACACAGATAAAAATAAATTCTCAGTCTGATGCTGTCTTCTGAGTCTTGCTTGTTTCATAAATTGGTAACTATTATTAATCATGACCATGCGTCTCCTTAGTGAGATATCAAGTGATTTACGTTATCTCAATTTGCCCTCAGTCTGCCCTGAGAAATGTGCATTTGTATCTGCGTTTTGCAGATAAGCATTTTGAAGGTGCAGAGAAGTTAAGGACCATGCCCAGTTAACCTTTACCAAATTTAGGATTTAAATTCAGACTGTGCTTTTGAGATTATTCCCTTTCATTGAAACACTGCACAGCTTGCCCCACTGCACAGCTTGAGAAGGGTGCATTCCTACAAACACACATGTTCTCAGTGTCACCTCTTCTTCCAGCCATGAGAGAGGGCAGCGCATACTCTCCTCTTTCAATGCTGTTGGGTGGTTTGTTTAACTTCTATTGTCCTTACATTGTGGGGGAAAATACCAAACTGTTTCTGTATGCCATATGACACCTCAGGAGACTTTTGTCACTTGGAAAACTATGGGGATTTCTCCCCACCAGCAAAGAAACAATTCTGAAATGGACACCAGCTGTGTGTACTTTAATTTAATTCACTTCTGATACTATCTTCCTGGAGAAGGACTCAGATCTCACATGCTGAGGGATCAGTCCCCTACTTCAGACCCAGTGGCAAATCCAGGCCTCTAGAACTTGGCTAAAGTTTGGGGCTCCCATGACCTCACCACAAATTTTATTAATTTTCTGGAGTGGCTCAAAAATGCAGAGAAACATCATACTTCCATCTATTGGTTTATTATGAAGGATATTTTAAAAGATTCAAATAAATATCCAGGTAAAAGCTACGTAAGGTGAAGTGTGAAAGAGTCCAGAGGAGCTTCCTCAGGAGCTCAGGAGTCCTCTGGAGCTTCCAAAAGTTGGGATGTGCTACCCTCTCAGCAAGTGGGAAAGTTCTCCTTCTCTTAGCTGTGAGCCGCCATGAGCTCACTTATCCAGAAGCTCTCTGCTCCCTGTTCCTTTGGGGTGTTAATGGGACAATTGCACAGGTGTGATTGAGGCATGCAGAGCCCTGTGGAAATGTGATTGAACAGAGTCCAATCTAGTGCTCATTGAATGGGCAGGAAAACCCAGCAAGGCCTTCATTCTTCTCGGCCTCTCTGTGCAGCCTCCTTTTTCCAGGGTATGGGGCAGGGCTCCTGCAGATTGAGCAGTGCTTTATGACCTAAAAGCAGATGAAAATAGGTCAGAGAATTTCTTTATGGGTAGCTCCAAGACACGTGGGTAAAGACTAGAGTTTCTATGACCTGCCTTAGGGAGAAGAATACTATTTTCTATGGCCTGCTATGGGGAGGAAGTTACAAGCCAGGAACTGTGGATAAAAACTAAAATATGTATACCATTATATCATAATATTATCACTATATATGTCTCATTATTGACAGTAGAAGCAAGACAATGTGCATGGGGAGCCAAGAGGGTAAGAAAAGATGGAGAAGATACAGTTCAAAGGGCAGAAAGAGGCATGTTTTGAAAAATGTGAGAGCTAGAAACCAGAAACAGGAGTGTGAAACCGGAAAAGGAACTATAAAAGGAGCTGTTTCATGGAACTAGAGAAATTCAAGCAGAGTGTGCTATACTAAAGAGAGCCCCAGTGAGACTAAACACTTAGATCACTACTTTATATGCATTTTATTAGCAAGAAGTGGGACTATGTGGCCAATCATGTCCCTTCACAACTGAGCAGAACATTTTACCTTTCTCTTAATTTTTACGTAGATGCCTTCTATTCCTCACTCAAATGGGTAAGGTAAATATTGTTTTCCTCATTTTGTTGGTTACTACTGTATTGTTTAAGGAATTCCATGAAAAATTAATCATCCCCCAAAGTAAGAAAATATTCCCTCTAAGAGAAAGAGCAAAATGAGTGGTGGGTTTTTTTCTGCAATGAAATGGGGGAGTTTTCCTTCTATAGAATAATGTTACAAATATATCCTACTGTTTATGGGGCTGTAGTAAGTGTGTTGCATGCCTGAAGGAGATATCGTTTCTTTTCCTAGATGAGAGAATTACAGGCCCTAAGTAGTAAGTATGTTAGTTTCTCAGTGCTGCCATAACAAAGTACAATAAACTAGATGGTTTTAAGCATGGTAATTTATTGTCTAGAGGAGTTTTGGAAGCTAGAAATGAAAATCAGGCTATTGGCAGTATTTCTTCCTGCTGACTATGAGAGAGGATATATTTCATGACTCTCTCCTAGTCTTTTATAACCTCAGGCATTTCTTGGCTTGAACATAGCCATCTTTTCCTGGGTGCTCATAGACTTTCCTCTGTGTTTGTGTCCGATTTCTTTTTATAAGGACAACAGTCCTAATGGATTAGCATTCACCCTAATGACTTCATCTCAATCATTTGCAGAACTATTTCTGAGGAAGCTTCCAATAATAGATACTGAGGATGTGAACATCAACGTCTTTGTGAGGGACCCATTTCAATTCATAATACCTAACTCAAGGCATCAAGACAACATGTCAAATTGGAAATGTACAGCGCTGGATTCAAATTGTGGTTCACATAACATATTAGTTGTGTGACTTTTTGTAACTTGCTTCATCTGCCTGTTTCTGTCTCAGTTCTATCTTTTAAGTGCAAATAATGATAATATCTATCTATAGGGTTTTTGTCAGAAGCAAGTGGGAATCTGCCAAAACAGGAATATAAGAAAGACTAATAATTGCCTTGCTGAGCTCTACTTTTTCACTTGGAAATTTCTGGGTTGTGAAGTGCCTCAGCTTCCCTTTACCAAAAGAAGGGAAAAATCAGCCAGCTAGATGTGGAAGAGACTCACTTTTTATAGCTTCAGTTTTAGTTACTGATTCTCCCGCAGTGCTGATTTTTGGTTAACTTTGCAAAGGATTAAAATTGCTAAGCTAATTTCTGTATTGACTTGTGAAACAGAATGAGAACTTCGGAGAGGTAAAGAAGGTGACTTAATAATAACTGTCAAGTGTATGAACAGTAATCTTATGCAGGCAGGAGGCCAAATCTTTTCCACTTTTACTGGGGGCAAGACAAGGAGAATAGGGTCTCATATTTCTGCAGGAGAAATTTAAATAAGACCGATTCAATTTATAAGGTTTATATCAGGGTTGGACTTGGGTGACCCTGAGAATGAAAATAAATTGGTTATTGATATCATTTCACCTCTGCAGCTATTGCCAGGGACCTGCTGTCCTTAGGCTTCTCCATAGCATTGACAACCTTAAGCATAGTGAAACACATAATCTCTTACAGTTAGCATTCATTCACAAATATTTACTGAACACCCACTGTAATAAGATAGTCTGGCAGCCATAGCAAATAGTTTCAAAAACTCATTGCTCTAAATCAATAAAAGTTTATTTGTTTTGCAACCAATAGGCAGCATGAGTGTTCCTGATGAAGGTATTTGCCAGGGCAGTTTGTTGTCCTACAAGTAACAGACTCAGAGACCTATAGCTACCTATGTTCTGGCTGAACCTCCTATAGATTCACTCTGCCAGAAGATGAGAAGTCACAGGGACTGTGCATGCTTTAGTGGAAGAGACCTGGAAGTGGTGACATCCCTTTGTACCACGTTGTTTTGACCAGCACTCAATAGCATAGCCTCACTTTCCTGCAAAAAAGGTTGAGAAGTCTGTTCTGAATAAGAAAAAGAAAAAAAAGAAAATAGCCAGTCTCTGTGGGAAAGGTGTTGTGTAAAATTATAGTTCTTTTCTGCGCTGTACTTCCTGTGGCACCATGTACACTTATTTAAATGCTTATTCATACATAGACTGAGCCAAGTCATGTTGTCGGCTCTGAGTCTAATTCAAGGTGCCCCTTATCACCTGAGCTCTGTCACTGACTGCTGTAGTATGAATGTCTCCCCCATAGTTCATGTGTGGGAAACTTAATCCTCAATGCAATAGTACTGTGAGGTACAGGATTAAGGGATGATCAGATCTGGAGGGTTCTTCCCTCCTGAATGGATTCATGTCTTGAATGGGTTAGTTATAGCAAAAGTGGGACTGGTGTAAAACTGAGTTTAACTTCCTCTTGTTCAGTTGTTCTCTCATGCTCTCTTGCTTTTCTGCATGTTGTCATGGAGTAATATCTCAGTTACTTTTCTTGATGCTGAGACAAAATATCTGACACCCAAAGTTAAAGGAAGAAAGGTTTATTTTGGCTCACTGTTTGTACAGGTTTTAGTCCATAGCTGGTGGGCTCCAATGCAGGGTGGAATGGCACAGGAGAAACAGTTCATGGAGGGCAGAAGGCAGCAAAGCAACAAAGTAGCAAAGAAGCAGCAGCAGTCTCTTTCTGTTTCTTATATTCTATCCACATACCTGCCCTCAGGGCAGGTAGCACTCACACCCAGAGTGGGGCACCCTTAATCCTAGCATCACAAAATTTAATCCCAACATCATACACCCTAGAACTAACCACCTCAGAAAAGCCCTACCTACAATCACATGAGGCTGGGGGTGTATCAAGATACAAGTCATAATAGGTGACATAATAAGACCCTCAGCAAGGGGTGAGCAGAAGCTGGTACCATGCTCTTGGATTTTCTAGCATCAAGCCAAACACATTTATTCTCTTTATAAATTAGTCTGTGATATTCTGTTATAGCAATACACTAAGACACAAAATTGTCACATAGGAATCTATTTGCTTTTTGATGCAAAGGCAGCAGGTACCTTAGGAGTGACAGGGGCCTGCATCCCACTGTTCCTTTATCCTCTCAGCACACATCTAAGTGCTGAGAACTTTCTCCTGCTACTGCAGCTCTGGAAACTAATGCCCCTTTGGATTAATCCTCAAGCAGTGCCTTATGGGAGTTGCAGCATAAATCCCTCAGCCCACCTACCCTTCTGCTGTGTAATTCTAAACTGTGACTTCCTAGACTTTTCCTGGTTTCAAAATCTCCAGTAACCCCCAACATGAGCCAGCTTAATACTGAACTCTTTAGTTGGCTGCCTTCCTTT